CCTCCGCAGTAGCTTCATGCTTTGAAGACAATATATGAGAGACGGTGTATTAGCTCTGGTATTGGCTATAGCTAAGGACACGAGTGGATTTGGTCTCTCTTGTCAGTCTTACAAAAATCAGGAATAAAACGCGTTTGACCGTGTCTTGCCTGGTCATTTGCCACTCAACGTACGTGGGGAACAAAAATTATGCTCATTGCACTTTCACTTGTAGCAATGTCAGAAAATTTCACTGGGCATAAACATCCCGCAGTAAAGCGTTTACTCGTACTAATCTTTCGCCTTTTACTAAAGATTACCGTGGACGTCTTACAAACAATGCGGCTTCACCAATTTCTGACCTCCCTCTGGGAGGACCCCATGCCAACATCCTCTCCAATGCATCAAACTACACACGCCATTTTTCTTTACCACCCCATTAATTCGTCGAAGTATTCAGTTCTAGTTGCTGCAAAGACCCTGAACGTGGTCAACACCTTTTCGTTGACAGCATCATGCCCTGGTAGCAAGCATCAGACATAAATCTTTCGTACTACGAGTGCTTGGCCAAGGGAATTCCCTTGCATGGACTGAGTGGGGACATACTTTGATCCCATACACGGATGCATAATGCAGACAAGGTTAGCGGAGTTGCTCGTAGTCGCCGAGGAGCACCTTGAGTTGGAGGCACTGGACGATCTCGGGCACCATCTCAACTTGGTCGCACTTGAACTTGGCTTCAAGCTCGTTGCTGAGGCTGTCGAGAAGGAACGCACCGAGAAAATGCGCCATGGTCGCCGAGTGAATTGCGTACAAGTACACGGCGCGGATCGTCTCGGACGCCATGCCGTCGGTGATGACGTAGAAGCGACAGGCCGCGAGGTGCTCTGTGAGCGCCTCGACCGTCGGCAGCCCGCAAATCCGACACGCAAATCCCCCCGAGTACTCCAAACTGTTCCAAAAGTACTTGAAGTCGTCGTGCGTCATGTACAGCGTGCAGCTTAGCGGCGACGCGTCCTCATTGGCCGGCGCATCCTCATCGTCCCAGAAGGTCTCGCCCGTGATCGTATTGCGAACATAGGCGCGGTCGTACGCATCGTGGTGCCGGACCCAGACGTCGGCGGGTGGCGCACTCGGGCGCGCGTGGCGTCGGCGACGTCGCGCGTGGCTACTGTCCGCCTCATTTTCCGATATGGAGGGCGCGCTGTCACTCTCCGACGATGCCGATGAAGCAGACGAGGAGCTCGACTCGTTCGTGCCGTCGCTGTCGCTGGCATCCTCGTCGTCGCTGCTGCTGTTCTCGACCGCGTGGTCCTCGGCGTCCCAGTTGCGCGGCAGGAGGTGGTATGTATCATAGTCCCGGTGGGTCTGCTCCATGACACTGATAAACTTGTACAAGACGAGCAAAAGCAGCGGCACCCAGCACTGCAGTAGCACGTTAAAGCCGGTCGCAATCAAGAGCAGCGCGGTGACACCGCCATAGAAGGACGTGCCTTGGTGGAACGACGCGTAGAGCACCAAGAAGAGGTATAGGCCGCAGCACGCGTCCACAAGCTTGGCGATCGTGACCATCTTGATCCAGTTGAGGTCGTTCGTGTAGCCGACGCCGTGCCAGTGAATGAGCGGCCCCGTATACGAGGCGAGGCGCCAGAGCAAACTTAAGCAGCGCCAAATGGGCGTGTGCAAGTTGCTCAAAAACAAAAGCAGTGCTGCCATTGAGGCGACGCCCGAGGTCAGAAGCATGTAGTGCAAGGGGATGCCCAGAGACGCCACTTGAAATTGCGGGTACATGGTGAAGGAGAAGCACGCAATGATACCGAGGAAGAGCAAGACGACGCTGCCGAGGCAGTAGATGTAGAGCAGCGCGACAATGCGGAGGAGGACGGCCCTCGACATTTGCGTCGGCGGCGGCAGAATTGTTGTCGGAAAGAAGAAGCGAGCCCGATCCAGAAGCACCTGCCACTTGAGGTGGAAGGGCTTGAGCGGTCGTTGCGACGGGGTGGTTTTGAGTTGCGGGTCGAGGTACCAGTACACGGAGAGCGAGAGCCACACTTTTAGCAGCATGCAGAGCGCCGTCCAGACGCGGCAGAACGACGTGAGCTGCCACGGGAAGATCGCGCCGTAGCTTCGTTCGTCTGAGCGACAGAGCCAGAAAAGGTCCACGAGAATCGCAACAACCATGCCGGTCGTCGTCAAGTGGAGCTCAATCTAGCGACGGTTTTGATGTTGAGATTCCGACACCATGGACAATGTGCTACCTTTTTGACGGGTACGGTCAAGAGGAGCGCGCCGATCGCAACGTTGTAGCGTGGACCGGGTGTCGTGCATTCGCCGAGCAAGCCAAACACAATCTAGCATTCTGTTTTTGAGAATTGAGATTGAGATATGCGTATCGTACCAGGAGGTACGCCATCCACTCGTGAGTGTGCAAACTCACGAGCGTTCGAAACCAAAAGGAAGCAAACGCAAAGAGCGAGTGGGATGTCGCGAGCAAAACACGTTTGTGCTTGCGGATCTGCCGGCGCTGGCGCTGCTGAAAAGTGAGCTGGCGCGTCAGTTTGAGTTTGAGCTTGGGCTTTGGCATCGACGGGTCAAACCCAGGGAGCTCGAGATCGTCTTCGAGCGCGACGTCTTTCGGCTTGTCTTCCGCATCGTCGCTACCGCTTTCTTGAAGCTCCGTAATGGCGTACTTCTTGCTTGCGCTTCGCCGGGTACCAAGTACAGATGCCTTGGGCGGGGACACCTTGGGTAGCTCGTGGCTTGGCTCGGGCGTCAACGCTGGAGGTGTCAGGCTCTCGTCTGCAAAGCGTACACTGCGTGGCGTGCTGCTCTGCTGCGCCACAGCACTTGGTGTCGGCGCGCTTCGCGGTGTGGCACGCAGCGACGGTGTGATCACCGGGCGTGGCGACGTCGGTGGCATCTTGGGGCCGTCGCCCGCATGCGGAGCAAACGGGTGCGCTGACTCGTCAGCTGGCGCAGCCTCTAGTGCCGTCTCTGTTGCAGCTATCGGCGTAGACTCGGATGCGGCCAATGGTGTCGTCGCTGTTGCAGCTAAGGGTGCAGATTCTGGTGGCGATGCGTTGGTGGTGTCCATTTTCGGTCGGTCGTCTGCAGCTGAAACTCCCGGCACCAAACGCCAGCAACCCTACCCCTCGTTCACCTCGGTTGAAGGTTGATAGCCAAGCAGTCCACCTGGCGGTGCCAGTATTGACACCGAATACGATAGACTTTAGCATGCGCAAACGCCGAGAAGCGGAATGCGAGGCAGGCGCTGCGGACCGGACCATCTCGATAGCCAGCACTCTTGGGATGCAGAGCGTCTACTCGATGCGTCATTTAATGGCGTAGATTTTATTCCAAGCCCAAGTATAGAGAAGATTGTATGGTCCAATGAACCTTCGAAAAAATACTGTCTCGCCCAATGAGTGGTTGAAATTTCGAAATCTGCCGGCGGTGATTGGTGCATCCTTCCCACACCTTTTCCAAGCTCCACGGTCACGGACGATGGTACGGGACAGGCGGCAACGCGGGCTCAAGCGATGGCTGCATGTAGGCCGCCCATGAGAACTTCTCGCCGCAGATCCTCCAGCGCGTGGCCAAGGAGGTCCGGCAGCTGGCGACGAACCCGCCGGAAGGGATCCGCCTTCTGGAGCAGGACTCGCTCGCCGAGATCCACGTCGAGCTGCGCGGACCCGAAGAGACGCCGTACGTCGGTGGCTTCTTCGAGGTGAAGCTGCTCCTGACCGATGGTTTCCCGACTACGCCGCCGAAAGGCGTCTTCTTGACCAAGATCTTCCACCCGAACATCGCGTCCAACGGCGACATCTGCGTCAACACGCTCAAGCGCGACTGGAGCGCCGACCTCGACCTCTCGCACGTGCTGCAAGTCATTCGGTGCCTCCTGATCGTGCCTTTTCCCGAGTCGTCGCTGAACGACGAGGCTGGGAAGCTCTTCATGGAGTGCTACGACGAGTACGCGCGCCGGGCCAAGATCCTCACCGACATTCACGCTACCAAGTCCAAGTTCAAGACGGACGCTGAGAGCACTGCATCGGCTGCGCCCAAGCGCGCCCGCGACGACAGCACCGACGACCCGGCGGCGGCGCGGAAGAAGAAATTGGCCAAAAAGAAGGGGCTTCAACGACTTTAAATGTACGACTAGTTTCTATGCCCAACTATGTGCCGAGCGACGGCGTCACGTTGGTCGCCGACACTGCGGCCGGGACGGCGTCAGGCGCGCTGCGGGCTTGGTTGGGCGCGTTGCCTTGGCTTCGAGCTGGGCGTGGCACACGAGCACGTTGCTGAGCTCGTGGATGCCCTTGTCTTGGCTCGCAATGTAGGCATATTGCGCAGCAAGGTTCTTGTGGGTCGCAATTGTGACCTTGGCGTCCGCACGGTTGGCCGCGTCCGCTTTCGCGCGCTCGTCCGAGTACGACGCCTTGAGGTGGCGTCCGTAGGCCTCAAACTTGGCCACGAGCTCCGTGTACGAGACCGCGTCGAGGACTGCGCGGCGGTGCTGGCGCGGGCCGTGCGTCCTGTGGAGCGCGTCTTGCGGCGTCGTTGTCGTGAGATGCAGGTCGACAGCCAAACAAGTCGCATTGTTCTCGAGCCCATGGCGCGCTAAGAAGCTGCCAATCAACGGCGAGTTGCGCAGCGAGTAGACCACGCGCTCCTTTGTAAACGAGTGCAAGTGGGTCCGTGGAAGCCCGTCGCGGTCGTCTTCAGCGACCGCTGGCGTCGTCGACGCGCCAGTCTCGGGGAGCGCGTCACCGGCGCGGATGCGTTCGAGGCGCTCGGTCCGGCGCACGCGGTTGCAAAGCGCGGGAAAGTCGGTGAGCGCCGCCGACTTGCGCTGTGCGTGCTTGGAGAGCTCGGGCATCCAGTGCTCGAGCTGGATTTGCTTGGGTTCAAAGCCCACAAACCTACAAGTACCAACGAATCAACGAAATTATCAAACTATCAAGAAGGCCACCAAGAAAAACACCGTCGCACAAGGCGTTCTTGGACGTCGCGGTTGAGGAGGTAGCGTGACATGGGGCACGCTTCATGCAGCGCCAAGAAGACGAGCTGTGCGAGTACGTCCGGTAGACGCGCGAGCACATCTACAATATATTCAGAAACCCACCAAACTACGAAAATGCAACTCGAATCGCGGGTCGACGGGTCGACCTGCAGCCGCAAAAAGAGGTTGGTGTAGTTATCCGCGATCCGCGAAGTAAAGTCCGACTCGAGCGTGGCGTGCTGTCCGCTCTACACGTCCTACTAGCGACCTCCAAACATACACACGTGCTAATACCTGGAATTCGTTCGCGATGAAGTACCAAAACACATCTTTGACGATGGCTTCGAGCTCGACCGAGGTCTGAAAGAGGTGCTTGAAGAGCCGCGCCGTCTTGGACGAGGCGTCGAGGCTGTTGTGGGCTAGCACCTTTTGCTTGAGGAGCGGCAGCTGCACGCTGCGGGGCAGCTCCGTCGGCTGGCTCGGCGAGAAGCGCACCGTGATGCGCTCGAGCGACTGCGACGCTGTCTTGGCGCGCACCATCATGAGCGTTCGCTTGGCCGCTCGCTGGATCATGGCGCGGTATTTGCTGCCTTTCTCATCGCCGTCGCTCTCCGTGTTGTTCTCGTCGTCGTCGGGCGGCAGCGAAATGGCCATCCGGCGCCCCTCGGACGACGGGTGCGGTACGTCCGTCTCGGTCAAGAAGGCGGGCGGCGCGACGTTGGCCGCCGGGGCTACCTCATCTTCTTTGAGCGTCCAGTCGTCGCCGTCCATGCTCCAACGACAAACGATACAAGACGGCTAACTTTAGATGGGTTATACTTTCTGCGCATATGACATTCCGCTCGTCGACATAGTTCTAGTCTTCCAAGTGCAGCAGATCCAGGATGAGCCCAATCTTGGTCGGGTACTCGAGATGCCCGCCAATGACTTGGCTCAAATCCACATTCTCGACCCCGTGGACCTCAATGGGGCTAATACCCGCCGAGTCCAGCGCCCAGCCCTACGCCGCATCGTACAAAACACGCTTCCATCTTGGTATTACCTGGTAGCGGTACATGACCGCGAGCATCCAGTCGTTCTCCGAGTAGCCGTTGACAAGGCGGCCAGCTACGACCTTGCGCGCGGACGCCCAGTCGTCTTCGACGACCGGGATCGGGCACCCGAGCAAGACTGCATTCTCAATCAGACCCACGCCATCTTCCTATACAGCCCTTTCCATGAGCCATCACGTTGCCAGCGAGACGAAGGAAGCGTACGGAAGCAAGGTGCTTGAGACATGCGAAAATGAGGCGCGCGCCCATGCCATAGCCGACGAGGCTCACGGGGCGCAAACCTTGCTCGCGTTGCAACAGCGCAGTGGCGAGGAGCTTCCCGCACATGTCGGCGCGACTCATGGCCATGGTCCACTCCGAGTCAATGAAGCTGCACGCGTTGACGACCATGGTCGGCAGCGCCGCGGCCGCAAAGAGCGTCGCAAACACCGTGTACTTGACAATCTCGCCGCGCGCGTAGCCGAGCACCATCTTGGACGTGAAGCTGCGAATGCACGTGCCGTAGCGCAGCAAGACGTCCTTCTCCCACTTGAGACAAAACTGGTCGCCGTGGGGCATGCGGTGCTTCCACTGCCACGCGCGGAGCTGGTCGGGCGTCGGTGCGTCCTTGGCGTCCGCTACGGTCTCGAGACGCACGCCCACCTACCACGCATGCAAGTTGAGTCCGTCGCATCGATGAGACGGTCGCGTACGGGGTCTTCGTCGGGGGCCAAGCCGTATTGACGCCGGAGCGAGGCAAAGAGGTCGTCTTCGCGGCCGCGGAAGCGCACGAGCATCGCATCGATCGACGCTATCTTCTCGGGGTTGAACTGCTTGTAAAACGCGTGGAGGTACTCGCGCGGCGTGCCCCACGGCCGCTTAAAGTCGGCCTCCGAGTTGTTCTCGAGCCAGCCCGAGATGCAAATGTACACGTTCATGCCACTCCCGGCCGTCAAGAGCTCAAACTCAAACTGCTTGATGCCCGACGTGCGCCGATCGGTCTTGTAGCCGGCGAGGCCTGCGCCGGCTGTGCCAAAGAGCACTGTGGCGGCCGTGACCCCGCCCGCCGAGGCTAATGCTGTCCCGACGACTGCGCCGACGCCGCCAAGCGCAGTAAAGCCCGCTGCGAGCGCCGGGGCCACGAGACCGCCCGTGAGCGCGAGCAGCGTGCCGCCGGCGACAGCGGCCGTGCCGATCTTGAGGTTGCGCTTCCAGTCGCCCCACCGACGCGGGCTCTCGACCTTGCGGCTCTTGAGCTCATTCGCCTCGAGGAAGAGCGCCATACCAAGCGCCGACTCTTCGGACGCGATGACGGTCCAAGGCAGCTCGTGGATCTCGTGCACGAGGAAACGAAACATGCTTCGTGCGCGGGCGTCGTACCCGACCGTGTACGTCGTCTTCCAGAGCATGTAGTGAAAAACTGCGATGAGCTCGTCGCGTGAAATGTCGGCTTCCACAAGCGCGACAAAGGGCCGACTGTTCATGGGCGTCTCGCGCAGCGTGCGCGGCGAGAGGGTCAAGGAGACGTGGTCCTCGGCAGTGTCGTCGACCAGCATGGCCGCCCTGTCCCGCGACGACCGCGCCCGCTCCATGGCGACGATCGGGAGAAGACCTTCAATCATGTGAAATGGAAGGTCCAAGCACTGCTCCATGAGGAAGCGAAAGTATGTTTGCGCCCACTCGCGGTGGGCAGAGCCGTCGTTGACCTGCGCGAGCGCGCACGCTACGACGCCGCCGAGGCCGCGCTTGGCGTTGGTCGAGAGCTTCATCATGACGCGGGCGTTGGCGTCTTCGGCGCGGTCCATGCCCTCGACCGTGTGCGCAGAGGACATGATGGCTGCGTTAGCGTCCTTGGCGCTGGGTGTTTCGCCCGACATTGGCTTCCTGCGACTTGGACAAGATGCGAAGATGGGCAAGCAATTGCCAATCCGGCAGCAGTTGCAACCGGAACCGTAAATATACGGTAAAAATCTAGGAAATACCGTCGCTTTCACCGAGTATCCGGATAACGGATGCCGTTGATCACAGTGTCCAACTTGAACCTCCTCATAGCTGTCCTTGCTGCCGGCCTGGATCAATGGGCATATTGGAGGCCAGCAGCACGCCTCCGTTGGTTGGCGACAGGAGCCGGTACCTCTCTTTATCAGGACAGGCGGCAGTGGCGCGTGACCAGGAGGGTCATGGAGGGTTGTTTGTGTGAGAGAAATATTCTCTTGGAGCGTACTATGAACCGGTGTCCACTGTCCTAAAGAACAATTCTCGATACGTCCTATTGCTCAACGGCTCTGCAGGCAAACTTTGAGGTTGGGCCCATCAAAGTATGTAGTGCTTGCTGATGCGATCAGAGGATTGGTCAAAATGTATGGATCGTCGATCCAGGATCAGGATGACTGAAGTGCCAAAGCAACGGGTTACGCACGCAGACGCCCTCTCTTCGGCGAGGTGCCAGCAGATCCAGATTTCGTCTGCTCTAGGGCCCAGTTGATGACGAAGAAGAGAGCTTGCAGCAGGAACGCCGACGATGCCTTCCAACCGTTCGGTTGGTGTGGCCGACAGCGTGGGCCGGCCCAGTAGCCATCCGGCTCCTAACTTCCACGTCCAAGGCGATTCCCGCGGCATCCGAAATAGAGACTATGCACCTCACCAGCACCCGACATCAGCGCAAATTGAGTGTAAATTGGGTGTGTGGATTGTTTGGTTCAACTTCAACTCGGGTTCTACACAGACATTTCTAAGTGTGCATAGGACTTCGCGCATATACTACCACCGTCCTAGTATTCAAGTCGCCCCTAAACGCCAATCGATATGTTTGTCCCGTCTCTTGTGCAAGCTTCTCCCTCAGGCACTCATGGGCCGCTCGGGCCATTGCCGTCAAGGGCAATCTCCACCACACCACACGAGCTGTGTGAAATGAAAAACGCATTTTACAAACATCAAGCTTCAACCATTTCCCACATGGGTTTCCCACACTGGTGGGTCAACTCCTTGCCTGCAACGGCAGCGGCTTCGCTGGTGTTCGAATGCAACGAATTCCATTTGCTGATTCGATGTTACTATGCACATACAAAATTCAAGTACAAAAGTGAATCCTGTGGCATTCGATATCGTGGAAGTATTTATTGCCAGAGGTTGAAGCCACCTGTGATTGGCCAATGCCATTTGTGTGGCAGTAAACGCCCTCGTCAGTGACTGTTCTGACTGGACGAAGATGCAACGCTCGACCAAGGCCGCTCGTGCTGCGCTCCAGAAGCTCGCGCCCCAAGGTGGGAAGATGCGATCGCGGTGGAAGGTAGACATCTGATATGTGAACCTTAGCGCGCGCCCTCCATGCGTCGCGCGTCGTCGCCAACGCCCAAGTGGAAACCCCGGCCATGACTCGCGTCTACGGCGGCTTGAAGGACGAAGATCGAATCTTCACCAACCTGTACGGCGAGCAGACGTGGCGCATCGACGGCGCCCTTAAGCGCGGTGATTGGTACCGCACGAAGGACTTCCTCAACATGGGCCCCGAGTGGATCATCCAAGAAATGAAGGACTCGGGCCTCCGTGGCCGTGGTGGTGCTGGTTTCCCGTCGGGCTTGAAGTGGTCTTTCATGCCCAAGCAGACGGACGGCCGCCCGTCCTTCTTGGTCGTCAACGCCGATGAGTCGGAGCCGGGCACTTGCAAGGATCGCGAGATCATGCGTAAGGACCCGCACAAGCTCGTCGAAGGCTGCTTGATTGCGGGCTACGCCATGCGCGCCCGTGCTGCGTACATCTACATTCGCGGCGAGTTCTTCAACGAAGCGCACATCTTGCAGGAGGCGATCCACGAGGCGTACCAGAAGGGCTTCCTCGGCAAGAACGCGTGCGGCAGCGGCTACGACTTTGACGTGTACCTCCACCGTGGTGCGGGCGCGTACATTTGCGGCGAAGAAACGGGCTTGCTCGAGAGTCTTGAGGGCCGCCAGGGCAAGCCCCGCCTCAAGCCGCCGTTCCCGGCCAACACGGGCCTTTACGGCTGCCCGACCACGGTCACGAACGTCGAGACAGTCTCTGTCTCGCCGACCATCCTTCGCCGTGGCGCCTCGTGGTTCAACAGCTTTGGCCGCAAGAACAACCACGGCACGAAGCTTTTCTGTATCTCAGGTCATGTCAACAACCCGTGCACGGTCGAGGAAGAAATGTCGATCCCGTTGCGCGACTTGATCGAAAAGCACTGCGGCGGCGTCCGTGGCGGCTGGTCGAACCTCCAGGCGTGCATTCCCGGCGGCTCGTCGGTGCCCGTCATGGACGAAGCGACGTGCCAGAGCATCCACATGGACTTTGACGACCTCAAGCTCACGGGTGGGTCGGGTCTCGGGACGGCCGCCGTCACGATCTTCGACAAGTCGGTCGACATGGTCGGTGCGATCCGCCGCTTGAGCCACTTCTACACGCACGAGAGTTGCGGCCAGTGCACGCCGTGCCGTGAAGGTACGGGCTGGATGGAGTCGATCCTCACGCGCATGGAGACGGGTGACGCCGACTTGGAGGAGATCCCGATGCTTGAGGAAATCTCGCGCCAGATCGAAGGCCACACCATCTGCGCCTTGGGTGACGCCGCCGCGTGGCCCGTCCAGGGTCTCATCAAGCGCTTCAAGCACAAGATTGTCGAGCGCATTGAGAACCCCAAGTCGTTCAACAAGGCCGACTACTTCCAGAAGTCGTGGCCCGGCGCCCCGTTCACGAACCAGGAGTGGGTCCAGAAGCACGCCGACGGCTCGGCCTACGCCTCGTCCAAGTAAACAAGTAGAAATCACTCGGACGTAGTAACCTGCACAAATTGAGTGTCCTTGCGCATGCATACAGCGGTCTTGTACTTCCAGTGTATGGCGACTTCCAGTGTATGGCGACTTCCAGTGTATGGCAGCCCTCCAACCACCGCTGTCAAGGGACCTTGTCCTCTATCAAAAATGCCAACGCCAGTTTGTGTCCTGCATGATGCAGTATAGTCACGGAACTCGAATCTCAAAGCTCCAACACCGAATCGCACAAACTCCAAACTCAAAACTCAAAAATCAAAACATGACATATTCGTTTGATGGCGACGGGTATCTTATTGTGCTAGTTGGTTCGGAATTGGTGTTCGCGCAAAAGCGCTTTGGCACGGGCCATGAGCCGCTCGTGCTCGTCGTCGCGTTCAAAGGGCTCGACTGCGACCGCTGTGGCCTTGACGGGCACGAGGTCGGCCAAGTCCCCGACCGCGAGAAGACCTTCGTCGACGCTGCGTTGCGTCTGCAGCTCCTGGGATGTGAGCTTGGACTGGAGATCACGCAGCTTGGAGCGGGCAGATAGCGGCGGCTCGTCATCGGGGGACGGGGCGCGCGTCACGGGCGCCGAGACGCTGTGCCGGTGGCTGGGCGAGTGCAAAAGCGACTCGAGGTGCGACAGCGAGCTGCTGTTGACGTCGTCGTCACTGAACATGCCTTCGAGGTCCCGCTCGAGGTCCGAGAGCGGACGCTGCTCGAGGCTGCCCGCATCCGAGCCCAGCTCGGAGAACTCGATTTTGAGGTCGTGCTCGATCGCACTGAGCCGGTGGTTCTGCAGCGGTGGGAGGTCGAACGGACGTCCAAACATTCCAGCTGCGTCGTCGTCTTCGTCGCTGCTCACTTGCTCCAACGCCATGCGCAACAGTTGCTTCTGGCGGTCGGACGACGCTGAAATCGACGACAAGGAGCTCGCACTCATCGGCGGCGTCAACGCGGAGAAGACTCGCTCGTGCATCTGGCTGTCGACATCGAATGCAGGACCTGCGTCGACTGTAGGTGCCTCGGGCGCGGGCGGTGCGACGTCGACAGTTGCTAGCGTCGGTATGGGCGACGGCGTTGTCGGTGGCACTGGTGACGGCGTTGCCGGCGGCGCGGGTTGTTGCGCCGCCAGCACCACTGGTGACACTGGTGATGGGCGGGTCCGTGATCGGACACTGTCATTTGACGCAACGGGGCTCGGCTGCATCGACGCACGGTCCATTGTACTTGGTGCGGGAGGCCGTGTGCTACTCGGGGGTGGTCGCAGCACCGACGACGACGACGAGTCGGGTGAAGGCGCCGGTGCAGCACTGCTACTACGTTGGCTGCTACTTCCAGACGAGAGAGGCAGCGAGACATGATCGTCGTGCGACTCGAGATGCGGGAGACTCGTCATTGAGTCGCCCAGTGTTTCATTTGTTGTCGCCTTTTGGTGGCGTCCGTCGCGTGCGCGCTTGAGGCCTTGCATTGTCCGCGCGCGCTCCATCTGCTGCAGCTGCATCTTCTGCTGCCACTCGCCAAAGAGGGCGTCTTCTTGCATCTTGCGCGCCTCTTCAAAGCGGCGGGTGACGGTGGCTTGGTCGGTGGCGGCCGCGTCGCGGTCCTGCTGCTTCCAGCTGTCAAAGACGATTTGGTCTGCGAGCTCTTGCTGCCGGCACTGCGCGAAAAAGTCGACGCGCATCTGCTGGAGACGCTCCTCCGAGAGCCGTTCGTCGGCAATGCGGGCCACACGCGCCCGCGCCGCAGCTTCGAGCGCGGAAATGTCTTCGTCATCGAGCTGCTGCGCCGTGTGCGCCGCCAGCTTTTGCGCCGCAAAGTCCATCTCGACGCGGTACCGGTCGTGCTCGGCTGCGACGAGCTTGCTCGTTTGCTCGAGCGCTTCTTTGGCATTTCGCTCCATCGCAATGATCTACGTTGTGTCTCGTACGCGCCGACAAGTTGTCTGCAATGACGTACCTGCTGCAGACGACGCTCGCGAGTCTTGGCCGCAAGCACCTTCATCGTCACGATGCGCTGCTTCTCCCGCTCGATGGCGTCGAGCCGCCGGCTCTGCTCGCTCTCAAGCCAGTGCTGCTTCTCTTCCATCCAGCGGCGGTGGGCCTCATCGAGTGCCTTTGTTTCAGCTTGGAGCTGCGCCACAAGTGCTTGCTTGGCCGCGAGGTCGTCTTCTTCGCGCGCAATGCGGTTGCGCTCCTAATCCACAGTCTGAGATAATCCTCTCAAATCAGAATTGGATTTGCCTGGATCTGATAGTCGACGACGAAATGAGGGTAGTGCTGGAAGCGGGGGTAGCTTCCTTTCTGGAGTGGCACGAGCGCCTCTTCTGCGTGCTCTGGCAGCGGAAAGCTCATCTGGCGCATCCAGTCGACCAACTGGCGCATGTCGAGCGTTTGCTGCTGGCCAAAGTAGGCTAACATCGCCGTCGACGAAGTGCAGTCCAAGAGCACATGGCGCGAGAGCTGTAGGAACGCGAGCACAGCGGCCCAGAGCCGCCCAGCGTCCCGAAACCCCGGCGTGACGAGGTGGTCCCACAGATATAGCCAGTCGCGACGCTGCAAGACGGTACTGAACGCCGAGTTGACAAGCGACCAGCCGTACACGTCGGCTTGAACATGGTGCGACACAAAATGCAAGTAGAGCTGCGGGTCGCGGCGCTCGAGCTCCTTCTCGAGAAGGCGGAGCAAGTTCAGTGGCGGGTACGGATACCGACGTAGAAAGTCGACGCCGTCAAACAAGAGCAGCGACGCGACGACCTCGAACGCCATCACATCGTTGTTCTCGCAGACCTTGATGAATGGAAACACAAACGCGGGGAGGTACTCGACCTCGCCGAACGCAGGGCACCAGTGCGCAATGGCCGAGAGCACGCGCTGTAGCCGCCGAAAGAGCCGCTGGTTCTGGATCGGGTAGCGCTGCGCGAGATGCACACACGACGGATGCACGCCCTTTTGCAAGAGAAGGCTAAACGCGTCGCTGTTGTCGGGCAGCTCGAGGAGGAAGCGCCACGCGAGCATGCGGTACCGCTCCGGGTACATTTCGTAGGACCGTAGCAGGTGCGCGAGCCGGCGCTTCTGCAGCGCTGCGTCCTGAGGTGGCATCGCCATTGACGGTGGCCGGGCCACGGGTGTCGGTGTGCGTGACATGATTGGTGTTTCTGGTGCCTTGGACGTCGTCGGTGTCTTGGGCGTGCTTGGTGCCTTGGTCTTCGGAGTTGTCGGCGTCTTGGGGGTGGGTGAGGCTGCTACAGGCTCGTACGTCGACTTGACCGGTGGTCCAAAGAGCGAGTCCATCAAGTGCGGTGTGGGAATTGCCGACCGCGTTGGCAAGTAGTTGTCGTCGGCGTCGGCGCGTTCTCGGATGCCCTGGACGGCGTACGCAGTCTCGCGTGCAATGTCCAGGTCGTAGAGGAGGAGACACCCGTCGCTACTTCATACTCAGTGATCACGCGTCACTGGAGCATGTACCTGGAGCAGCACGCGAGATACTTGCCATTCCCGTCCATGGCATAATGCGTCATGGCCTTGGCGCGATGTGCGACCTGGAGGCTCACCTTGGGCGTGGACGTCGAGACGTTGAGAAAGTTGAGTTGGCCATCGTCACCGAGGACGCAAATGATCGTGCTCGTACATGGCACGAACGTATGCTAGAGTATGGCCATATATGGATACTGCTCGTACAGGATATGGAGAAAGGACAGTCGAATACCTGGAAGACGCGCCGGACGGTCGCCGGCAGCTCGATGATGCGGATGAGCGTTTGAGACTCGAATTCCCATACGTAAATAAAGGGCGAGTGGCCGCTACATACACGGTCGCGCGTCAACGTACGGCAAGGTGTGGAGAGCAAGGGACCTTGCGATGATGGCGCGGCAGTTGTCCGAGACGCAAAAGCGCGTGAGGCCCGGCGGATGCTCGTACTCGGGCAGCGCGAAGCGGTACTTGAGCGCGAGCGTACTCAGCTCCCACATCAAGATCGAGTCGTCGCGGAAGCACACGGCGACGAGCTCGCCATTGTTGACAAACTGCGCGGCTTGGACACCAGGACCGGCGTTCAGTGTCCGGAAGCGCGACCAGTCGGCGCTGTCCCAGAGGATCACGGCATCGGCGGACGCTGTCAGCGCGAGCTGGCCCGGCCGCTGGAACGAGACACACGTCGGCACGTGTCGGTGGCCGCGGAGCGTACTCACGAGCACCTTTGTCTGCACGTTCACGCAGCGAACGGTCAAGTCTTCGCACGTCACGAGGAGCTCGGCGCGCTGGTGCGGGCTAAAGGCGCACTCGAGCGCCGGCGTGCCCAAGTGGCACACGAGCGCATACCGGTTCCGCGTCGGAAAGAAGGCGAAGACGCGGCCTTTCTCGTCGACGGCCGCAAAGACGTCGCCGCCAGCCGAGAAAGCGACGCAGCGGAAGCGGGCCCAGCCCGTGCCCGCGTCCGACGTCTCGGTGGCCTTGTACGTCCGGAGAGGGAGGTTGCGCATGCAACCGAGGAGGCCCGACGGACCGACCTGCGGGCGGCGCGGCCATAGCAGGCCCTCTTCGTCGGTCCCGAGCTTCAGCCGGACCTCGTACACCATCGTCGCGAGATAGCTTTTCAAGCGCGAACGCCGGATACCGGAAATATTATCCGGATTCAAAGATTTTACCAGCAAGATCGTGGCAGAGGACTAGAACTACAACCCGCTACAGACGATGGCATCCAGAGTACTCTTGACGACATGTACGCAGACAGAGCCCATTTCATACACATAGGTAGAGCCTGGTCCACGGCCTCGGTCGGCAGTCGGAAGCCCGGCGACAAGGTGTTGCCGATTTGAGTTGCGTGATATTAGCCATCCGGATACCAGGACTCGGTTCGCACAACCCATTTTGCCAAAAGATCAACCATCCTCGTCATGCGCGAGCTCATGCTTCAGCTGTACCACGTCCCGCCGGCCGCGCTGGCGAAGCTCGTCGCCTTGGGCCTGGACCGGATCGAGCTCGGGTACGACGAGCGAGTGATGCTGGCAAGCCTGCAGGCGCACCTTGTAGTTCGTCGGCGCTCCGGCTCGATGGCAGCACCTTGGCGGACGCATGCGCACTCCTGGACGGCGCCACATCCAAGCGCCTGCGCAACGGATGGTGTGCTGTCTTCGAGTCGACTTGCAACGGCGTCACAGTGGCAACAACTACGAACTGGCCATGCGCCCACGACGGTGGGAACAGTGCATGCGTCCACGACGGCGTCGCACACATTGGTACGCCCGTTGCCGCGCGGAGAAGGTTCATACACCATGTGTAGGCCCTCGTCCGCATGCACTGACGCACGACACATACGTGGCGCTCGTTGAGACGCTGCATCTCTCCATCATGTACTGGTCATCATGTACTATCGGCGACTGGAGCTGCCTTGGTGTAGATATACCTTTCGCGAGGTCCCTGACGGCGCTCTGCGCGGATCGACAGTCCCCCGGCCGCTTGCGATCTTGGCAGCCGAGCATGCAAAAGTAAAGGCAGAAGTCAAAGCCGAGGCGGTGACGAGCCATGCATCACCGACACGAGACGTTCCGCCCTTTCTTACACCCAAGGACGAACCGAAAAGAATCTAGGCCAGAGGAGCTCAAGGATAGCTCGGAAACTGCGAGCGGTACTTTACTCCAAGTAAGGCTTCTTTGAAGACGCCCCAGGGACCATCCATTGCAGTCCCTACCCCATTTCTATACTCTTTCATCAGATGATCGCCGTCTCGCTTGGTCAACGACGACTAACGAACTAACGAACTGACGCCGACGGTCAACACCAGACGTACACGTTGTCGTACTGTCCCACAATCCTACTGCTCGATCCAGCAACTCGAACGCGCCACGAATGTACTAACTTGGATCATCCAATTTGGTCATAGTAAATATCAATTTCAGTGCAACTTGCCCACTTTGGCGACGCTGGCAACGTACATTGGCAAAACTCTGCTGGCCTCGCCGAGGAGTCGCAAGTGGACTTCCGGAACGCTTTGCAGCAAAGCTTTCACCTTGTCTGTAGTAGTACAAGCTCGATTGCTCAGCGCTCCGAGACGCTCTCAACGTCCTACTCGATACCACGACAAACCACAGAAAAAAGTATCAATGTTTCAACTAGAGCTTTCGAAACGCGAGCACTTGGTAGAGGCTCACAATGTCCCACTCGACGTCCGAGATGGTGCCGTTAAAGTTGAGCACGTGCATCTTTGTGAGGAGCTCACGGTGCCGGGGCACTTGGCTGTGGAGCGCGACGAACGACTGAAAGTTCTCCTGGAGCACGAGTTCAAAGCCGTTCTGGGCAATCAAGCGGTGCAAGAGCGAGTTTGGAATCAGGTATTCCGGCAAGTCGACGGCCTGCTCGTCCTCGCCGTCGCGCAATGTAAACTTGTACCGGAGACCGTACCCTTCGTCGTCGTCGTCGTCACTGCCATAGAGGAGCCGCGTCCGGGTCGACTCGTCCATGCGCACGGTGCACATTTCTCGCTTCTTGGCGTCAAAGATGCGGATCGGTGCCGGCGCGCCATCCGCGTCCACGTCCCCAACCGACGCCTGGAGCTTCTGGATCATGCGGTCCGGGTCGATCGTCGTCGCGATAAACTGCCCGCCCTTGGGCAGCATTGAGCGCAGCGTGCTGAAGAAGAGGTTGGCGCTGTTCTGGTCGCAAAACATGTAGTGGAACGAAAACTGCATCGAGACCATGTCGAACGCGTGCGGCGAGTTGACGGGCACGGCCATGTGCCACTGCTTGGCCGCGCTCCAGCAGTAGAGCGAGTCGGAGAGGAGCGAGACCTTCCCAAGATCACCTTGCACGAGCTGGATGTCCATCTGCGAGAGCTGCCGGTTCTTTTGGACGCGCCCGACCGCGTCTTCGAGCGACCCTTGCGCAATGTCGACGCCCATGTACATGGATACGTTCTGCTTGGCCCACTTCATCATGTCGCCGCCTTTGCCGCACGCCAAGTCGAGCACCTTGCAGTTCGTCGGGCAGTACTCGCGGATGAGCACCGACTTGATCCAGTTGTTCATCGCGCGCATGTGGTAGAGGAGCGAGTCGGCGCGGTCGCCCGAGTTGGCGCGCTGAAGGCTGCTGTAAAACTCGGCCGTCTGCTCCTGGTCGGTCAGCGCCGTACGTCGCGGCTCCATCGTGGCATGTGAACGCCGATCGTACGCAGGGTCGTCGCCGCGGGACCGCTTGGCGCTTGAGCTTTCATAGTCGTCTTCGTGACTGCGCTTGTGCGACGTGGCCTCGTCGGCGCGTGGCATCGGCGACAAGAGATCCAAGACCGAGTTGGAGCCACGGCGCTGCGGCGTCGGATCTGGTCGTGGCGAGCTGCGCTGGCGCTTCGGTGACGCAGCGACCGCCGGCTTGGTATATGACCGCGTCCCTTTTTCGTCGGCAAGGTCGAAGTAGACGCGCCGAGGGTCACCTGGCTCGATCACGTACGCCCAGCCGGTGGGCAGGTCCTTCTCGGTCCAGTACTGCTTGCCAGTCTTCTTGTGGAAGTAGTAGTCGACGCCTCGCGAGCGCGACGTGCCAAGGCTCCATCCAGGCGGCAGTTGGTTCATGTCGTCGCGTTTTGTCAAATGGGCGGCGGAGGCCGATCCTAAATTTACCGAACCCGAAGATCCTATTTCGGACTTTTGCCTAGTTTATCGTGCGACGAGTTGATTGGTGCAAATCGACAACGCGCGGGAGCTTGCCACGTCATGTCGTGCTATCCCAACTGTCACGTCGAGCTCGGTGCGACGAGCGATACCAACCCAAGGCAAGACTTATGCACATCATGTGTATGCCACAGACTACACGAACGACAACACAATGTCCTTACAGCGACGCCAGGTCCACTTCGACAGCCGTGTTGCCGGCCGTGAACGAGCCCTCGAGCGCGCTCACGCGGCCGCCGAGCACCGAGGCCAGGAACGCTTCGGTGCGCAAGACAAAGTCGATCGCGTTGGGCGGGCGGTGGAAACCATGACCTTCGTCCGTGTAAATGACGTACTGCACGCGTCGCCCGGCGTTATGGAGCGCCTTGGCGATCTGGTCCGACTCGGCTTGCGGCACACGCGGGTCGTTGGCGCCCTGGCCAATCAGCAGCGGCTTGCAGATCTTCTCGACGTGGAAGACAGGCGAGATCGCAGTGTTCCACGCGTCGTCTGACTCGACAGGCCCAATGCGAAGGGCAAACATGGCCTTGAGCGCGTCCCAGTCCGGTGGAGTCGCGGCCAAGAGCGATTTAACGTTCGAGGGGCCGACGACGTCGACACCGCACGCGTACAGCTCGGGCGTGAACGCGAGGCCCGCCAAAGTCGCGTAGCCGCCGTAGCTCTTACCGTAGATGCCGACGCGCGACGCATCGGCGTAGCCCTGGTCAATGGCCCAGTGGGCGGCGTCCGTGATGTCTTGCTGCATCGCATGGCCCCACTGCTTGTTGCCGAGATGGAGCCAGCGAAGGCCATAGCCTGTCGATGCGCGGTAGTTGACGGAAAGCACTGCATACCCGCGGTTTGCGAGCCTAATGCACAATGACGCGTCGAGGATCGTGGAGACGCGGCGTACCATTGGTGGGTTGGATTGAAGCCCCAGTGGTCACGCACCCACGGACCACCGTGGACAAACACAACGAGCGGCAGCTGCGTCGGCGGCAGTCCGACCGGCAGCGTCAAGTACCCGACCTGCGTCTCGCCATCAATGCAAGGAATCTCGATCGCCTTCATGGGCGCAAACGTGTACGCCTCGAGCGACGGCTGCTCGAGCCCCAGAAGCGTCAGCGTCGACGTCGCCCGGACGTAATGGTAGTAGCGCTTGGAGCTCGTGTCCGGGGCGACGCAGATCGTCCACGCGTTGTCATCAACAGTGCGACTCACGAGCTCCATCGGACTGTGGACGAGGGCCTCGAGGCGCGTAATGTCGTCGCGCACGTGTTCGTTGAGAATGATCTTTTCCGGCAAGAGGTACTCGACCGCACAGTAGTCGGGCGACCCGTCAATGCCAAAGACGACGTCGCCGATGTCCGCTTTCGGGTGATGCGCCAGCGTTGCTAGCTCCGAGCCATCGATGGTCGAGAGGAGGACGAGTCGGAGCGTGCAGTTGTCGCTGCCGTTCAGCGACGTCAAGACGTAGATGCCGGTGCCGTCAGCGCTCAGCTGGAGCGGCGTCACATCGTCGTTCAAGCCCCAGCGCACCACTTCGCGCCACGGGCTCGCAGCGTCGTCACGGATACAAAGCTTCTTGTCGCCGACGCCGTCCGCGGGCGACACGGCGCCACGCACGACAAGGTCGCTGTCGACGATCCACGCTTCGGCGCGGTCCGTGTTGGCGGCCAATAGCGTTCGCTCGCCTGTCACGACACTGATGCGGTAGACGTCAAAGAGCTTTGGGTCGCGGTCGTTGATGCCGACAACGACATCGTCTGAGAAGCGCTCGCTCGTGAGCCGGTTGATGTGGTTGTAAAATGACGTCATCGGGAACGTCGTGAGCACTTTGGCATCGGGAAGCGGCGTGAGGTTGGTCGTTGTCGCCGTCGCAATGTGAACGGCAAAGAGGTGGAAGCGTTCGTTGCCGTCTTCGTCCTGGACGTACAGCACATGCGTGCCATTGGTCGCCCAACGAAAGAACCGAATCGGGCGCTTCGCCTCGGTCGTGAGCTGGACGGCCGTGGTGCTGCCTGCGCTGGGCCGCACGAAGAGGTTCATGATGCCATTGCTGCTCGGCGCCAAGTACGCGAGGTGGGCGCCATCCGGCGAGACGCGGGGCGACGCATACTCGGTCGGGCCAAAGAGCACCGGGATCGGCACAAGCGTACTCTCCATGTCGATGTTTGCAAATCACGAAGTGCGCCAGGCAGTTACGATGCCCCACGGATCATTTTTAATATTTCGTATAAAACACTAGTGTATTTAAATGTTTCGCTCAAAAGGTTTATCCGATGCGTCTCAATTGAAGTGCAATGTCGACACTTGCGTCAATAAGAGTTGGCACAAGAACTCGCTTGGGCATCCACAGTTTATGGCCAAGTAGTATAGCTACCGGTAGGTGTAAGCCAACCAGGCAACGTCCATCGCGTGCATCTTTCTCGTGGTTGTGGCGTCCAGGGCCGTATCGACACCCCGCCCGACGACGTCTGCAATGCTAGAGGTAACCGTAGACGCCACCATCAACCGACGTACTCACTCTCGCCAGTTTCCCATTTGGTGCTGACTTGTGAGAACTGGTGTCAAGGGCGGCGCATCGCCCTCGATCGGTCGTCGTCAGGGACGGTCTCGAGATGGTCCACTGTCCATCATTCAGCGGTTACCTGCATTCTTTCTCGCGTCCAGGGGGGTCCGAAAAAATGAACTATATATTAATCAAGTATGTGTATGCCACACGCTCGCCCGTTTTCATGGGGCCCCTGCGCAATAGAATTCTCGCCGGTGATTGGCGCGACGCGATTGCTTGCGCGTGATTGGTCTGTTTTTGCATGGTTGGAGGAGGGACCTTATTATTGTACGATGGCCGCTACGGACGCCCAAGTGAAGCACGGTAGGACCTGCCTGCAGCTCGGGTGGATGCTCATGGCCTCTGTAGATGCTGCTGCCGACGAGGAGCACAGCCTCCAGACGGGCTGGTGCTTGTGGTACGACGGCCACGCGTCTGTCGGACACTGCTCATGCGCGAACGTAGGTATGACCGCAAGCTGCCCAAGCGCACGGACCTCGAGTACGTTCTGATTGCATGCTTATCCGAGGCTCATGACGACTGCTAGCACCTACCAGTCGAACTTGCAGAAGATCGCTGCCTTTGGCACGGTCGAAGACTTTTGGCGGTACGGAGATGCGTCATCGATGTATGGGCTCATGACGTTATGTTAGCCACTACGTGCACGTGAAGCGCCCGTCGCAGCTCAACAAGGACACGAACTTGTACTTGTTCCGTGATGCGCCCAACTGCGCGCCGATGTGGGAAGTGCGTCCTCGGCTTTGTTGGCATCACGTGGTATCAACGATTGTCGCTAGGCCTTCCCGAACGGCGGCTGCTGGATCCTCAAGATCAAGAAGAAGGCCAACGTCCTCGGTAAGATGTGGCAGGACCTCTGCTTCGCCGCGGTCGGCGAGGCGTTCGAGACGCTCAACGTCGTTGGTATTGCCATGGCCATCCGCTCCAAGGAAGACATGATCTCGGTACACAGGATACGGATCATGACACATATGCGAACGACGGCGAGTAGGTCTGGAACGCCGACAACACGGACGACAGCGCTCGGTTCGCGATCGGGTACGTCCCTTGCACCACGTGCCATGCGGCCGCTCATATGATGTTATGTTTGCAGCGAGAAGCTCAAGGAGCTCCTCATGCTCGACTCCAACACGCTCATCGAGTACAAGTTCCACTCCAACTCGATCCGCGACATGTCGACGTTCCGCAACGCCAAGCCGTACGTCTTCTCCGCGTCCAGCTAAGCGCACCGCGCAACGACAACGGCGACGGGTGTGTCCTTGGTGCGACTCAAGTGTCATTGCACGTGCAGTTGTAATCAAGAAGATGCCTCTTGTCTTGTGATTACGAGTCCATCCCAAGCGCAGGCTGTACGTCTTCCACACAAGTGGTGGTCGGACGTGCTGCCAGTTTCGCGCGCTATCGGTTCTCATCGATTGCGCAAAATCAACAGTATGTCATTATCCTTGGCGAGACGAAGCATGTTGGTCGACGGCCTTAGCGGAACACGCGGCGCGAGGGCGCCGGAGGACCTCGACGACCCCTCGGTTTAAGGTTGTGGGATTAGTCGATCAGGATCCACGTCTTGGCCAAACATTGATCGTGCGGCACTGCCATCATGGCTGCCTGGTTAAACGGGTCGACTTCGATATCGCGTAGCTCTGCCATTATGGTGCCCTAGTCTTGATTAGTGTTGGGTGCGATATACACCGGCGCCAACATGTGGTCGGTGCCGTTCGGTTTGAGAT